AAAGAGTCATTAATTGTATTCAAAGGCTGTTATGAATAATATCTTCACTTAAGAACACTGATTTGACTGGTTGAGCTCTCCAGATTGCCGTAGACTCCCCTTCGACGAGCACATGCAGAACAGTCTGCGAGAAGGCTCCCGCGTGACCCTTGGCTTGAATATGGCTTAATGTTGGGGACCCAAGGGCAAAGTATCCGGTGTTACTACCCACCCTGATCAACTATATGCTTCTCATTGCAGCCCCCATGGGGGGGGGTCAGTCGCATCCTGCTGTGTCAACTGTTGTATAGGGTCGGCCCGAGGCTTGGTTCTCATTTATGTTTTATGCGCAGTGCAAGCCCCTCATAACATAATCGCACAAAGAAAAAAAGTCCGGCCTATACACATTAGCCAGAGGGACTACACTAAGCCATAAATGAGAATACGAGAAAGAGTTGACAGTCACTGCCGCAACATCTAATGGTTCGTATAATCCCCGAAAACTGGAGGACTGACAATTCTGTCCGTGCATCCTCTGTAACGACATGATCACACACCAGCAAATAACGGAGATATTGAACTCTTCGACGCACCGATCCGTTGGTAGCAGACATGCCACCACGACCGCGCTCCCTTCCAAAGCAATGTGCTCTTCTTGCGCAATCAAACCTTGAGGCTTCACCGTCGATGCTGTACTATTGTAGTTCCAATGACTCAGTTTCCCCATAATCACGGTTTTAAACCATCTCCGTTGAAAATCCATTCATCTGACAAATTCATATACTAGCAGTCACTGCACACATAATCTCTTTCACAATGACTCCTTAGTTTAATTCCGGTTCCATCGTCAACTAGATTTCTGGTTCCCAAGAGATTAGAGACTATTACATATGTCGCAAAAGTATTAAAGAAGCCTGGTTAAAGAACGACTGCCGAGATAATCCCACATGCAGTTGCATTAGGGAAATTTTGGTGGTAGCACAGCTAGCCCGTCATAACTCCCACAGCTGTGCGGTGGCGGACTCACCGTGTCTTTGGAAGATTTTCCCCTTGCCCTCGTAAACACACATTCTCTCTCCCTCTATCTATCTAGCTACTATCTCTCTCATCCTCTCTCTATCTCTCTATCCTCTCTATTCTCTTATCTCTTCTCTATCTCTCTCTTCTCTCTCTCTCTCTCTATCTCTTCTCTCTATCTCTCTCTCTCTATCTCTCTCTTATATCTCTCTCTTCTATCTCTATCTCTCTATCCTATCTCTATCTCTCTATCCTTCTCATCTCTCTCTGTGCTCTCTCTCTATATCTCTCTCTATATTCTCTCTCTCGATATCTCTCTCCTATATCTCTCTCTCTATATCTCTCTCTCTCATCTATATTCTCTTCTCTAATATATCTCTCTCCTATATTATCCTCTATATCTCTCTATCTATATCTCTCTCTCTAACTCTCTCTCTATACTCTCTCTCGTATATCTCCTCCTCTATATCTCTTCTTCTATACTCTCTCTCTATTTATCTCCTCTATATCTCTCTCTTATATCTCTCTCTCTCTATATCTCTCTCTCTCATATCTCTCTCTCTATATCTCTCTCTATATATTAATCTCTCTCTCCCTATATAATCTCTCTCTCTCTATATATCTCTCTCTACATCTCTCTCTATATATCTCTCTCTCTATATAACTCTCTCTCTATTCTTCTCTCCTCTCTCTATATCTCTCTCTCTCTATATCTCTCTCCTATCTCTCTCTCTATATATCTCTCTCTCTATATATATCTCTCTCTAGTATATTCTCTCTCTCTCTTATCTCTCTCTATAAATATATCTCTCCTCTATCTCTCTCTCTCATATATCTCTCTCTCAAATCCTCCCTCTCTCTCTATATCTCTCTCTCTCTCTCTATATCTCTCTCTCTCTCTATATCTCTCTCTATCTCTATCTCTATCTCTCTCTCTCTATATCTCTCTATATCTCTCTCTCTCTATCTCTCTCTCTATATATATATATCTCTCTCTCTATATATATATATCTCTCTCTCTATATATATATCTCTCTATATATATATATATATCTCTCTCTATATCTCTCTCTCTCTATATATCTCTCTCTCTCTATCTATCTCTCTCTTTTTTTCTCTTTATCTCCTCTCTCCAAATAAGATTTTGATAAACCTGTGTAAAAAGGTTGGAAAAGAAAGAAAATTCTGCAAAGTAATTTTTATTGAACTGTTTATTTAATGTGTTAGAAAAGTAGTTATTAATTTTTCGTGATTTTTTCATAATATTTTGACATTGTTTTAGCTCTCCTTTAAGAAGGATGATATTATAACTTTAACCATGAGAAAAGAAGGGGGATGGTTGGAGGGTACCCTTGGAGGGAAAACAGGGTGGTTTCCTTCAAATTATATTGAAGAATACCAACCTCAATGTAAGTGCATTTAAATCCTAGTAGGTTTGAAAGTTTTCTCAGTATTGTAATTTGTTAGAAAAGTTATTTGTAAATGTTGACATTTTTTCTTGAGGCAATTAACTTGTTTTCTTAAGTGATTTATTTAAAAATATCTTCTATATTTAAGAATTGGATGTCATAATACAATCATGGTAAAACTGACTTCATTCCAATAATTTATGTATGAATTTAAAGTATGTAAATGTTGTGAAGAAATATAAGAGTTTAAAATTTGTGATTGCAGGTAGCGGTAGTGCAACAAGCAGCTCCACGCCTCCATCATATATCAGACCAGAAATGTTTGCACCTCAAAGTAAAGATAACGATAACGGTTATTATATAGAGGATATGCTTGATGATCACAGAAGACAACTTGAAGAACTGGAGAGGACAGTGAAGTATTTTGCAAACCATCCACTGCTAAATCCCAAACCCAAACCCAAATAGTCAGTCACCATTTTGAAACATTTATGATACAAATAGGAAGCAGTGATTTTTTTTTATTTTTCTGAGTGGAGAAAACTAAATAAAATGTCCAGTCTGTAGGAATCCATTTAAAATAGGTGGGGGCTTTTCTTTTTATTTAGAACTTTTGATGTATGTTCTAAACTTGGTAATAGGTGTTGTTTTTTTCCCCTCCTTTCTCCTCTTTTCCTCTTCTCTTTTTGGATTTTTGAACGCGTGTTTGGCTTTATAATGAAATTTTTGAGGCAAGTAAGCTTGAAAAAATTCAGAAAGTCTCTCTGAAGTGTTTAAGCTGAACAAGAAGTTTATGCTGATCCAATAACTTTTTTTGGCAAAGTAATATAAAACATTGTTAAAGAGTGAAAAACATGTTTTTTCCTTCAGCAGATCAGATGTAGCGGTAAAGAAAGGAGAAATTCGCACTTTATTTTTTAATTGTTTCGAGCAGATTCATCTGGCCAGAATAGCATATAAATCCTTTGGCCTTTTAACTTATTTTGCCCAATACTACTCTTTTAAGTCAATAATTATCTTATTGTAGACAAATTATCTTCAAACCCTGTGAATTGATCTAATATCATTATTAAAGTTTTGCTAATTATTCTAATCCAAAGGAAGGGTTGGGAAATAAGATATATTCAAAATGAAATGGTACTAACTAGAGTGAAAACTTAATACTCAATTATTAAAACAGATTACACACAATTCCATTCTATTTGTAATTATTTATCCATATTTTGCATATTTATCATAGCATATTTTCATATCTTTTTAGGCTATTAGTTACTTATGTTTATTAGATTTTTACGTTAACTATTTACCATATCATTTCACTGCATTTATAATGAGATAATATTGAATATCATATTCCTTGAACTGTGGGATTTGCAAGTGTTGCGGCATGTTTTCCCGGAAGACCATTTTCTCATTGAAAAATGATAGCATTGATTCCAAAATGTTGAAATTTTAAAAGATAAATTAATGTATCCAACAATAAAGAAGTAAGCCCTAAGAATTGATGGAAAGGTACTATTTCGTTGGAATGATTTTGAGCAATGAGATCAAGAATGCGAAATGAGTCAATTGCTGGACTACGCTCTGTGAAGTCGTGGATGTTAAGTAATTCGAGACACCATGGATTCCTATGGTGTAAATCACCCAACAGCAAGGACCAACTTGGCAATATGGCATCTGCCCTCTCATGACAGCACTTATAGTACTGCATTTGACATTTGCCTCCTGGTCATCGCTCCAATTCTCTCTGCTGTGGACATCTTTTCGTAATGTGCTAATCCTCCTGTCTTGTCTATCGTCAGAACTCAACATCTCACAAATGAACGAGTGTGGAATAAGTGTAAAATGATTCAAAATTATAGATCCCAATGTCTTCAAGTTTAAAAAATATTGATGTGTTAAGTGACAAAAAAAATATATTATGAAAATCTTAGGGCAGGTGACTGTGTGAAAAAAACATTTAAAGTGGTATCATTAACAATATTTTTTACAATTTCCACTTTTTTTTAACAGTATATATCAAATACAAAATAGACATTGCTAAGTCTACTGAAATATTTAATAGGGACAAACAAATTCAGTGAAATCACTATTTGTGTAAGCAGAATTTTGTTTGTGAGCAGTTTTTTATTGTGTAATTGTTCATAATATTTTAAGTGTCAAAACTTCATAGTGTAAGAAATGTAATAAAAATATTAACAGAACTAACAAGATTTAATTGGTTTATTTTGTCCAGGCACAACTTCCTCTGTTACTTTATTGAATGAATAATTTGAGAATCCTCGCATATCCACTTAGTTGACAAAATTGTTTTGTGGCAAACATACTCATTTTTAAATCCATGTATTAAGAAAAAAAACTTTTTTTTCTGTAATGAAAATAGTTGGTTCCAAAGGATGAAATTCCAATGAAATTGACAAATTGATTGTCATGGCCATGCAGGGTTTCTCTAGCTTGCAGGATAAAATTCAAATTATGTGCCAATTTTTGTCGGGAAATCCAGTAATAATATACTCTTAACTATAGATTTTATTTCAAGAATCAACGCTTTGATAAAAAATTGTATTCGTCTCAGGTTAAGAATTCCAAGTGTGAAGAATTATCTGTAAAAATTATATATTTTAATTCCAATGATCGTTGCTAAAAGGATGGCAGTAGCAGAATTTTTGTACTCAAGTAATTAGATCATTAAAAATGAAAATAAACATTTGTCTTCAAAAATTAAAACTAGACTAATAAATTGTTTCTAATGTAGATATTACATGGAAGATTTGTGACCATCCATGTCTATTTCCCCACAAGAGGAGATTCTTATGTAATGGTAGGGATTTAGGTGGGTCAAAACATCATCACAGAAGTTTTATTGTTTATTTGTCACTTTCACAATAGTGAATTAATAACCTTTTATTGTGAAGAACTAAAAGAAGTTAAACGTTACAATTATACAACATGGTGGTTTAAAAGCAATGACAACCATGCATCAGAACAAACCTTTTGATTTGACTACCATGTAACAGAGTTGTCTCAAAAGGACAACTGTGGCATCCGTTAAGAGACAACCATCCCATGATTCTGTAACATCTTAAAAAAAATGTATTTGTAACATTATTTATATTCAGTTTTCAATAATTTCTGTGTACTTACCACTAACTCCTTTATCTTCTCCACCTTGATATTGGAAATTATTCAATAAATCCACTGTAATATGGAGCATTGTCCATCACTATTAAGCATGGTAATATGGAGCATTCTCTAGGCGAGGAATTAATTATCTGGACTCATCTTTGAACATTTCAAAAAGTGTTTAAAATATTGTTATACAGGTACTTCATTATTTTTAGGGAAAACTGTTGAGCTCGGTATTCATAGAACCATAATAGTCTTAGGTTCTTTTTAAATCAGGATTGTAAATTAAACCTACCCCTCAAATTAGTTCATTGCCATCCATATATTTAAAGAGAAAATCGTGCACAATGAAATTAATTCTTTAATGCCTAATAATACACTAAATTTCAAATTTTATCATGTCAGAAAAGAAATTATAATATACTTTGATAATATCATTACTCAATAACCTGCAACTCACCTTGCACAACGAACTACTGCAAAAAATCTGCCTTCATCTGCCTGTTTTGGATGGCTCCTTACCTCATCTTTGTTACTTTCTTACAACTGGTTACGCAGTGGAGAATAAGTTATGTAATACTGAGGGAGAAAAGTCGAATTTTTAGCAGAAAATATTTGCTTGGCCCTGGTAACAAAAAAGTGGATAAATGCAGTTGGTAAATTTAGAAAAAAAATCCTCTTAACATGTCTAGCCAAAAACCAACCTTGATACTAAAAAATCAATTGACAGCAAAGATCTGTCAGTCAATAATAGCAGCTACACCATTCAACCAATTTTCTCCACAATTGATATTCCACTACCTATTTAATTAATTTTAATTTGAGGAGGGGGAATTGAAAACTGCTGTTTTTATTTAACTTACTTCTATAGTTTAAGTTTAAGTGTTTTTAGTGTAAGCGATTTACAGTCGAGTAAAGTGTTGGTGAAACGCTCCAAGAAGTTACTCTCGAGTAAACATGATTTACTCCAGAGTAAACTCTTACTCTTCGTTTGGTGAAACCGGCCCTGAATTGAATACACATTCCCCTCGTAAAACCCATTACTTTCACAATTTTTGCATTAAGGAAGACTGATCCTTCAGAATCTGAAGTGGTATTGCCCACCACTTCTGAATAGAGAGTGCAAATAGAGATACCAAGACCTATAGAATAGATCATTCTTGTTACTTGTTACATACTTGTACTTGTTAAATATTTGTCCAACCACACTATAGACAAAATATATGATTTCATAAAATACTACAAAAACAAAATGTTTAGACATTTCTGTGGATAATCTGCTTTCAAACTGCTAGATTTTGTTCCCCAAAGCATCCTTAGAATATTGATCAATGCCTGTGACAGGGAACTTTCTTTTCTACACCTTTTTGGGAGGCATGAATGGTTGTTTTATTTATTTATTTTTGGTGGCGTGAACAATACGTGGGTGACCGTCTGGGAACCCTGGTTCCTAATGCTGCCGGTCCCCTGGCAGAAGGGATAAAAGGCACTGAGCTAGCGGAGACGAAAGGAAATAGACAATTATTACGGTTAAGTCTGCCATTCTGTAGCACCACTAGTTTTTTTGAAATTTCCTTAAGTTTTCGGTTTCCTAATAGTAGAAAGGAAATATGATTTTAAGAATATTAAAGAATAGTAAAACGTCGTCCTAAACAGCAATTTTTATTGAAAAACTTTCGAGCGGTTTTCTAGAAAATGGTGTTTCAGAGCTACCGAAAACTCGAAGTTTGAACCTCTTTTCACATAAAAGTAATGAATTTTCGAAAATTTTCATATGGAGACATTTCAAGCACTTCCAGTCACGTCCAGTCCAATAGTGTTTAAAAATCGCTGGAAATGTGCATATTAAAGGCGTGAGAGATTCTTTAATAAAATGTTTTACATTTATGTAATTAAGAAACAAAAAATACAGCCAAATTAATTCTATGCCATATTCAACAGTACAATTAGCACTATCCGTACGAAGAGTTCAAAGAAAACATTTGGAGCGGTTTTTGATAAAATGGCGTTAAAACGTTTATGAAAATGCGGAACTTTGAGCACGTTATGTAAATGTTAACGACGTAAGAGGCTAGTATAAAAATTACATTTTTGTAATTTTTGAAAAAACAACAAAAGAATACATTAAAATAGCGTTTATGTCATCTTCTAGAATGAATTTGGAACTATCCGTACCAAACAAAAAAAATTGAAGCCGTTGGTGAGAAAATCTTGTTTTTTTTATTTTCTCTAAATTGCGCTTATTGGACGAAAACTAATAAAAGTTTCAAAACAATTTACACAACCTTAATGAAAGAAATCACTATGGAGAACCAATTTATTTGAAGGAAATATCTCTATCTTCAATTTAAAAGTTGTACGGAGACGCCTGAAAACTTTTCAAATTTTCGAAAGTAAACCTGAAAATCGAACCTATGCCACCTTTATAAGAGTATTTTACGCTATTCTTTCAAGCAAATTTAGAGCAGTTTCTGAGGAAATTTTGAAAATTTCTTGGGAGCTTCATGTACTCCCAAATTTTAAGGTTTTTTTTTTTCAAAATTTCAAAGATTCGACTCGAGCCAGATGAACGCAGGTTTCTTCAATTCGGAAAAAATCCTACGTATGGTTTAGGCACTAGTGATGTTCATGCATAAACGGACGTTTTGAAAAAAAAAAACTTTTTCGTTATCAAGGGACCACAAAAGGTGTATTTCCATTGAAATTTCGAAATCGATTTTTCACAGCATTGCATAAAATTTCTTTCCCTGAAATACGTATAATACTCCGTATATACGTACGTATACGGGAAAGAAACAATAGATCACCTTTGTCTCGATGTTCAACTGTATGAGGCAACAAAGGGATTCGAGGGATGGGAGAAAGAGGACAAGGGAAAAGTTGGAAAATGGGAAAGAAAAGAGAAGATGAAAATTAGGAGGGAGGAGAAGAATGTGGTAGCACCTTGCCTCAAGCGTGCCGCGTACACATTTATTTTCCACTGACATGTAAAATCTGATGAATGTTTCAATATCAGAAAGTTTTATGCTTCTAGTTTCAAAGGGATTGGTTAGCGGACCGGTGCAGGTACCCTACTGGACCTGAAGGCGGAAACGGAGTCCTGTGAGAATCCAGCTCCGTCGAGTTTAGGGGAACAGAGGGCCTTTTGGGAGGGGAAGGAGGGGTGTGGATGGGAGGTTAGAAGCAGCGGGGCGACTGCTGCGAGACACAGCTAAGAGAACGAGCGACAAGACGATGGCTAACGTGCAGCTACTGAGACCTTGCCGTTTACGACACCCCAAGCAGCGCCCGCCGAGAGGCGGGCCAGAAGACTCGAAATCTTCGCAAAGTGAGTCCGTTCCCTATAATTTAATTCACTATGGATGATATTGCGATGTGAACGCATACGCTAGAACAGGTAGCAAATTATCATTCGCAACCTAGCCGCACATGCCGTCATGTAAGAGGCCGTTATACCGGATTGTATAAATTCAAGCGCAGCAACAATATCAGCATTGAACATTTAATTTGTTAATTTTTCCACCTGAAAATTGGAGTTAACGTATTGCGTCAATGCGACTTCGGCTAGCGAGCATTTAATGTAAAACTATGAACGCGAGAGAAACGATGAGCAAGTGCCGGTGCACGTAATAGTATTACTTCATGATTCTGAAACTGTATTACCTTGCAAGGGATGTAAATTGAAATCGCTGTTTCAATTGTATCACATACATCAAATGCGTATTTAGGAGTTTCAGCGGTTTTAGAGCCTGATGGCTTATTCTGCAGATACGTTGTTCGTGGTGCAAGTGTGTGTAATGTTGTGCATTCAAGCAAGGCCATAGGCGTGCGGATAGCCCAAGATAAGTGAAGGATTATTCTGGTAGCCCTAGAAATGAGAACGAACTCCTAACCAATAATGATAATTTTGATTCTTAAATTCTGTCGATCAGTCTTAAATGAGAATGTTTGTGCAATCCTTATTTCCCCGAAAAGGTTTCAGCGGTCCTCACAACGCTTGGGACGGCGGTGGCCGCAGTTCTGCTCGAGTGTGAAGACTGAGAGTTCTGA